CTCAATTTCAGAGCCTGTTATTGGTCTATTCAGAGATTCAGCTTCTTCCTGGTTTAGTCTTGGGAGAGCGTATGTGTCCAGGAATTTATCCATTTCTTCTAGATTTTCTAGTTTATTTGCATGGAGGTGTTTATAGTATTCTCTGATGGTAGTTTGTATCTCTGTGGGATTGGTGGTGATACCCTCTTTATCATTTTTTATTGTGTCTATTTGATTCTTCCCTCTTTTCTTCTTTATTAGTCTTGCTAGTAGTCTATCTATTTTGTTGATCTTTTCAAAAAACCAGCTCCTGGATTCATTGATTTTTTTTGAAGGGTTTTTTGTGTCTCTATCTCCTTCAGTTCAGCTCTGATCTTAGTTGTTTCTTGCCTTCTGCTAGCTTTTGAATGTGTTTGCTCTTTCGTCTCTAGTTCTTTTAATTGTGATGTTAGAGTGTCAGTTTTAGATCTTTCCTGCTTTCTCTTGTGGGCATTTAGTGCTATGCATTTCCCTTTACACACTGCTTTAAATGTATCCCAGAGATTCCGGTACGTTGTGTCTGTTTTCATTGGTTTCAAAGAACATCTTTATTTCTGCCTTCATTTCGTTATGTACCCAGTAGTCATTCAGGAACAGGTTGTTCAGTTTCCATGTAGTTGTGTGGTTTTGAGTGAGTTTCTTAATCCTGAGTTATAATTTAATTGCACTGTGGTCTGAGAGACAGTTTGTTGTGATCTCTATTCTTTTCCATTTGCTGAGGAGTACTTTACTTCCAACTATGTGGTCAATTTTGGAATAAGTGCGATGTGGTGCTGAGAAGAATGTATATTCTGTTAATTTGGGGTGGAGAATTCTGTAGATGTCTGTTAGGTCCGCTTGATGCAGAGCTGAGTTCAAGTCCTGGATATCCTTGTTAACTTTCTGTCTTGTTGATCTAATATTGACAGTGCGGTGTTCAAATCTCCCATTATTATTGTGTGGGAGTCTAAGTCTCTTTGTAGGTCTCTAGGGACTTGCTTTATGAATCTGAGTTATCCTGTATTGTGTACATATATATTTAGGATAGTTAGCTCTTCTTGTTGAATTGATCCCTTTACCGTTATATAGTGGCCTTCTTTGTCTCTTTTGATCTTTGTTGGTTTAAAGTCTGTTTTATCTGAGACTAGAATTGCAGCCCCTGCTTTTTTTGCCTTCCGTTTGCTTGGTAGATCTTCCTCTATCCCTTTATTTTGAGCCTGTGTGTGTCTCTGCACGTGAGATGGGTCTCCTGAATAAAGCACACGGATGGGTCTTGACTCTTTATCCAATTTGCCAGTCTGTGTCTTTTAATTGGAAGCATTTAGCCCATTTACATTTAAGGTTAATATTGTTATGTGTGGATTTGATCCTGTCGTTATGATGCTAGCTGGTTATTTTGTCTGTTGGTTGATGCAGTTTCTTCCTAGCATCGATGGTCTTTACAGTTTGGCATGCTTTTGCAGTGGCTGGTACTGGTTGTTCCTTTCCATGTGTAGTGCTTCCTTCAGGAGCTCTTGTAAGGCAGGCCTGATGGTGACAAAATCTCTCAGCATTTGCTTGTCTGTAAAGGATTTTATTTCTCCTTCAGTCATGAAGCTTAGTTTGGCTGGATATGAAATTCTGGGTTGAAAATTATTTTCTTTTAAGAATGTTGAATATTGGCCCCCACTCTCTTCTGGCTTGTAGAGTTTCTGCCAAGAGATCTGCTGTTAGTCTGATGGGCTTCCCTTTGTGGGTAACCCAACCTTTCTCTCTGACTGCCCTTAACATTTTTTCCTTCATTTCAGCCTTGGAGAATCTGACAATTATATGTCTTGGGGTTGCTCTTCTCGAGGAGTAGCTTTGTAGTGTTCTCTGTATTTCCTGAATTTGAATGTTGGCCTGCCTTGCTAGGTTGGGGAAGTTCTCCTGGATAATATCCTGCAAAGTGTTTTCCAACTTGGTTCCATTCTCCCCATCACTTTCAGGTACACCATTCAAACGTAGATTTGGTCTTTTCACATAGTCCCATGTTTCTTGGAGGCTTTGTTCATTTCTTTTTACTCTTTCTTCTCTAAACTTCTCTTCTTGCTTTATTTCATTAATTCGATCTTTAATCACTGATACCCTTTCTTCCACTTGATCAAATTGGCTATTGAAGCTTGTGCATGCATCACATAGTTCTCATGCCATGGTTTTTCAGCTCCATCAGATCATTTAAGGTCTTCTCTACACGGTTTATTCTAGTTAGCTATTCATGTGATCTTTTTTCAAGGTTTTTAGCTTCCTTGCAATGGGTTCAAACATCCTCCTTTAGCTTGGAGAAGTTTGTTATTATCGACCTTCTAAAGCCTATTTCTGTCAGCTCATCAAAGTCATTCTCCATCCGGCTTTGTTCTGTTGCTGGTGAAGAGCTGCGATCTTTTGGAGGAGAAGAGGTGCTCTGGTTTTTAGAATTTTCAGCTTTTCTGCTCTGGTTTCTCCCCATCTTTGTGGTTTTATCTACCTTTCGTCTTTGATGTTGGTGACCTCCAGATGGGGTTTTCGTGTGGATGTCCTTTTTGTTAATGTTGATGCTGTTCCTTTCTGTTTGTTAATTTTCCTTCTAACAGTCAGGTCCCTCAGCTGCAGGTCTGTTGGAGTTTGCTGGAGGTCCACTCCAGACCCTGTTTGCCTGGGTATCACCAGCAGAGGCTGCAGAAGAGCAAATATTGCTGCCTGATCATTCCTCTGAAAGCTTCTTCCCAGAGGGGCACCCACCTGTATGAGGTGTCAGTTGGCCCCTACTGGGAGGTATCTCCCAGTTAGGCTACATGGGGGTCAGGGACCCACTTGAGGCAGTCTGTCCGTTCTCTGAGCTCAAACACTGTGCTGGGAGAACCACTCCTCTCTTCAGAGCTGTCCAACAGGGACGTTTGAGTCTGCAGAAGTTTCTGCTGCCTTTTGTTCAGCTATGCCCTGCCCCCAGGAGTGGAGTCTACATGTGGAGGCAGAGGCCTTGCTGAGCTGTGGTGGATTCCACCCAGTTCGAGCTTCCTGGCTGCTTTGTTTACCTACTCAAGCCTCAGCAATGGTGGACGCCCCTCTCCCTGCCAGGCTGCTGCCTTGCAGTGGATCTCAGAGTGCTGCACTAGCAGTGAGCAAGGCTCTGTGGGCGTGGGACCCGCCAAGCCAGGTGTAGGATATGATCTCCTGGTGTTTTATTTGCTAAGACCATTAGAAAAGCACAGTATTTGGGTGGGAGTGTCCTGTTTTTCCAGGTACCATCTTCTGTGAAGGTACAGCTTCCCTTGGCTAGGAAAGGGAAATCCCCCGACCCCTTGCACTTCCTGGGAGAGGTGATGCCCCGCCCTGCTTCGGGTTGCCCTCCGTGGGCTGCACCCACTGCCCAACTAGTCCCAGTGAGATGAACCAGTTACTTCACTTGGAAATGCAGAAATCACCTGTTGTCTGCGTTGTTCATGCTGGGATCTGCAGACCAAGCTGTTCCTTTTTGGCCATCTTGGAACGGGATTCAATTTTATACAGATTTTTATACAGATTTTTTTTCCTGAACCATTTGAAAATCAGTTGTAGACATCATGCTCCTTTGCTCCTAAATATTTCAGTTTATATTTCCTAAGAACAAGGACATTTTCTAACATTAACACAGAATAATTATCAAATTTAGGAAATTCAGTATTTTATCAGACTTCATGTTTGCCAGTCTGCTGAGCCTTAAAGGCCTTCTTTCCATTTTTCTATTGTGAAGATGTTTACAGTTATAAGGTAGTTGAAAGAATAGTTTGGTGAACATCTGTGAACCCTCTTGGATTCAATAAATATTTTGATGTATTTTCTCTTTCTCACAGACACATACTTTTTTCCTTTGCTCATTAGAAAGTTGCAGATATCATATCATCATCCCTTCAACACACATCTTTTTAAGAGCATTTTCCCTCATCACTACAATATCATTATTACACCTAAGGAAATTGACGGTAATTCCCTAATGTCCTCTAATGTCTTTTTTTTTTTTTTTTTTTTTTTTTTTTTTTTCTGCTCTGTCACCAGGCTGGAGTGCAGTGGTGCGATCTTGGCTCACTGCAACCTTCACCTCCTGGGTTCAAGCGATTCCCCTGCCTCAGCCTCCTAAGTAGCTGGGACTACAGGTGCGTGCCACCAAATTAGCCTGGCTAATTTTTTTTTTTTTTGTATTTTAGTAGAGATGGGTTTCACCATGTTGGCCAGTATGGTCTCAATCTCCTGACTTCGAGCTCCACCTGCTTTGGCCTCCCAAAGTGCTGGGATTACAGGCATGAGCCACCGTGCCTGGCCCTAATGTCCTCTAATATCTGAACCGTATTCAGATTTTCTTTGTTGTCCCAAGAATATATATGTGTGTGTGTGTGTGTGTGTGTGTGCAGGTGCGTGTGTAAAATCCAAGCTGGTATTCCCTAGATTGAACCACATTCTGGGTTTGACTTATTGTTTCCTCATGGTTTGTTTAACTTGTATCTCTATGTTCTATGTAAAATAGTATCTTAAGTTAACTGCGTTTTCCTCTGATTACTGGAGAGGCTGGTCACCTTTCATTTGGAGAGGCTGATAACCTTTCATTTGCTGTTCAGGTTTCCTCTTCAGTGAATTCCCTATTCATATTCTTTACCTGTTTTTTGTTGAATTGTCTTTGCCTTTTCTTAAAGATTTGTAGGAATTCTTTACATATTCTGGATAATAATCTTTGGTTGGTTATATGTAGTATCTACATTTCAAACAAGCAGCCCAAATAATTGAGTTGCCAAGTGGTTTTTGGATAGTTCTCATCATACTATCCTCCTCTTTAAACTATAATAGTTTGATCCCAAGTAAATAGATGAAAGAGGTAATGTTTAATCACAAAATACAAATGGACTAAAATGAATCAGAACCATGGTATGCTAATAAATATGTACTTATATTCTTGTTATCACTCATTTAAGGTACTCTTATCGTCCTTAATATTAGAGAGTGCCAGTCCCATTTTGTTCTTCTGATAAATGAACATGCTATGGTTTAATAGAAAGAGTATGGGCTTTGGAGTCAGAGATCTACATTTATATCCTGACTATCCTTTTTCTAGCTACATAGCCCTATGCAATTTACTTAGATATTCATTCTACAGTTCCTCATCTGTAAAACTGCAAGTTGCCTTATACAGTGATTGTGAAGATACAATGAATAATGAATATGAAAACATTTTGTCCAACATCAGATGAAAAATAGGCATTAAATCTTATCCTACTCTTTTTTTCCCTTCCTTTCTCCCTCCTTTTGTTTTTAGACTCGTAAGTATCACAGAACTGGTCCCTTTGAAAAACAGTATGTTGGTAGCTTACTGACTTTCCTGATTACATTTAGCCAGGGTTTTGTTTTCCAACCAGGATATGCACAGTCTGAGGCTTCATGATATTGCTACTGAAAACTTTGTGGCAGGCAGCAGTTGCTGGCCAGCGTTTGGTTTACAGTGCTCAAGTTACTTATAATGCCTTGCAGATGCTTAAGCAGCATAGTGAGGGTTCCATAGTTAAACCCACTGTATCTTTCTAGGAGCTTGCAGAGCTAGAAAGTGCCCTCCAGGAGCAGCATGAGGTGAATGCATCTTTGCAGCAGACCCAGGGAGATCTCAGTGCCTATGAAGCTGAGCTAGAGGCTCGGCTAAACCTAAGAGATACTGAAGCCAGCCAGCTCAAGGAAGAGTTGGAAAAAGTAACAAGACTAACCCAGGTAAGTAGGAGCATAAAGCCAACTAGAAACTAAGTACCCTGTGCCTTAAGATATCATCCTTCTTTTATTTATGTCTTAATTTAAAGTTAAGCGTTTTTTCATACCATGTATATGGAGTGATGAGAAAGGCAGAATTTTGGAGTCAGACATTCCAAGTGCTAATAACTACCCCTGTGTGAACATGGGCAAATCAGTTCATAGCTCTGAGCCTCCCAGCCTTTTCCTCCTCTGTAAAATGGCTTATGGGGAAGATAAATGAGAGAAATGACATGAAAGCACCTGACATCGATACTCAATAAATGCTAGTTTGTTTTTCCTTCTTAGAACAGGTTTAAGAGACTTTTTTTTTTTTTTTTTTTTGAGACGGAGTCTCGCTCTGTCGCCCAGGCTGGAATGCAGTGGCACGATCTCGGCTCACTGCAAGCTCCACCTCCTGGGTTCACGCCATTCTCCCGCCTCAGCCTCCGAGTAGCTGGGACTACAGGCGCCCGCCACCACGCCCAGCTAGTTTTTTGTATTTTTAGTAGAGACGGGGTTTCACCATGTTAGCCAGGATGGTCTCGATCTCCTGACCTCGTGATCCACCCGCCTCGGCCTCCCAAAGTGCTGGGATTACAGGCTTGAGCCACCACGCCTGGCCCTTTTTTTTTTTTTTTTTTTTTTTTTTGAGACGGAATCTTGCTCTGTTGCTAGGCTGGAGTGCAGTGATGTGATGTCAACTCTCTGCAACCTCCGCCTCCTGGGTTCAAGCGATTCTCCTGCCTCAGCCTCCTGCGTAGCTGGGACTACAGGTGTGTGCCACCATGCCTGGCTAATTTTTTGTGTGTTAGTAGAGATGGGGTTTCACCATGTTGGTCAGGCTGGTCTACAAACTCCCCACCTCAGGTGATCCGCCCACCTCAGCCTCCCAAAGTGCTGGGATTACAGGCATGGGCCACCGCGCTCGGCCGAGACCTCTTTTAGGTTGATGGTAAGTTGTAGTTTGCTGTCTCCTTTCAGGGTTGGCTGAAAGATCCACTAGTTTAAATTGTACTTGCAAGTTACAGAAAACATATCCAATAAATATTTATTGATTGGCCATTGAGGGCCAGGTGCTGTGGATTCTCTAGGGAAAGCACAGACATGGTCACCATTCTGTGGAGCTGACAGATCTCTGATTGGTAAACTTTAGTCCAGCAGGTGAAACAGGTGTGGAAGAAAGAAAAAGACAGGATTCTTTGGCCAAGGAGGAAGTAGTCAGGGAAGATCACCCTACAGAAATGATGTTTCAGCTGATGACTGATGGATGAGTAGGATTTGGCCATGCAGAGGGGACAGGGTGAAAGGGGTAAAGGTAAGGTATGTGTATTCTAGGCAGAGAGGTGAGGAGAGAGAGCATATAGTAAGTACATTTAAAGTGCTGAAAGTATGCCTCCAGGATGCCAGGAGCAGGGAGAGGAGTGAGGAAAGAGAACGAGAGGTAAAGGCAGAGGGGCAGGCAGAGGCCAGTTGTAATATATTCTTTATCAGATTAAAAATACAATTTATTAGCCAGATGAGCTGCATCTTCTTTCAGGAAGCCACTTCAACCTTTCCTTTCTGCCTGCTGAAAATCTGGGTTCAGGACTCCAGTTTGGTTTTCCTATAACCTGTGCACAGTAAAGGTATTTATCATGCATATGATGATCATCTGTTTAGATGCTCCTAGATGATCTATTTGTTTTACCCCAGCTAGACTCAGAGCTCAGTGAATGCCCAGATTGTATCTGTTTGTTTCTGTTTTTTTAGTGCCTGGCATATGAGAAGTGTCAATACGTGCTTATTTGATAAAAATGAAATAAATAAGATATTTTGAATCTCAGGAATGCATGTAAAAAATAATTCATATAATTAGAAAATGAACTAGAAATATATCTGGTTTATTATAGTAATTATGTATATTCCTTTACTTATGAGATATCAGATCATCACTAGACAGTTGTCAGGATTGTATTTCTCAAGAGTGCTGAGTTTTGTAGAAGTATAATTGACAAGATTAGAGTCTCAGAAATTAGGAGGTTTTAGGAAAACAATTAAAATAACAGTAAATATTTTAAAATAATAATAAATAAAATAAAATTTCTAGGTGGCATTTTCCTTAATAAATTCTCCTCTTCAAGCCAGACTGTACTAGCTTGAAATACATTGTCCTTTGTACTTTGATTGTCTTTTATTTTCTTCTCAGAAGTCTTGACAAAATTATTTTAAGAGCCTGGCCTTTTCACTGATTCACTTGGTATTGAAAGGGACATACCCCCTTCCTCAGCACCAAGACTGCCAGGATTGGTCTTCAAACCACACTGAGAATATGAAGCATAACAGGTCTTCTGTCTCTGATCTGAAGATCTGCAGGTCTCTGATTGGTAAACTTTAGTTACATGAACTCCCTTGTGATGCTCGATAAGTACAGATTCCTTGGCCCCACCCACCCTAGAGATTCTGATCCAGAATCTCTTTTCTGAGATAGAGGTTAGGTGTCTGCATTTTTAACAGGCATACCTAGTGTTGATACAGGTTTTTTGAGGACCACAGTTTGAGAAATACTAGTCTAAGGGAAAGAAGAGCAATAATTGTTGGATCACTTGCACAACTTTTAAAGGTAGGTGCTTCGGCCCACACCTGAAGATTCTGATTTGTTGTATTTGGGCTGACCTGATTCCGATGCTTACTCCTTCTTAAGTGTTAATGATAGTTTAAGGATTGTGTGAAAAAATTATCTTTGGTTTTTAAATTTGGGAGTACAAACATAAAATTGAGTTGTAAAACTATAGCTAGCCAGGGATTGTGTGTATATGTAAATTTATTTGTGCCTTTTAAAATAATAAATTATTGCTGTTTTATACTTTCATGTCATTGCTTCGTATGGTGACAGTTAGAACAATCAGCCCTTCAAGCAGAACTTGAGAAGGAAAGGCAAGCCCTCAAGAATGCCCTTGGAAAAGCCCAGTTCTCAGAAGAAAAGGAGCAAGAGAACAGTGAGCTCCATGCAAAACTTAAACACCTGCAGGTAGAGATTTGTTGTTTTAGAATACATTCTTACACAGAACACCCAAAGATGACGATATCTTTAGTCAGGCACTTAGCAACCTGCTCTAACATGTAGTAAGCAACTTGAATTACTAGACAAAAGGGAATTCTGGGTGGAGCAGCACCATAGCCCCTATTCTCTTGTGACCATTGTTTTAAAATTGTTATTTGTGAATCTCCTTTTGTTTTTATGATGGTGCAAAGAGATAGAGGCAGTGTCAGTAGTAAACAATATACTGTGTAAACTCATGGGCAAAAGCAGTATCTTGCATTTCTTCTAAAAGTAGATTTGTCACCAGACCGAACTAAAATGATCAGATTGGTGCATTCCTCTTCCGCTGAAATATCTTTGTAATTATCCAGGAATTTAACTAGAGTGGGTTGCAGTGGGATTTCTTATGTGTAAACAGTTTTCACAATCCTCTTCTCAGAAAGGATGCTATTAAAAATGTAATCATTTTTTATTTGTGGGAATGTATGTCAACATATGTATAGCTGTTCTCACAGTAATCTGCTGAACAAACTGCAGGAAAAACAGGTGGATAGGATTTTTCTGATAATTAAACTCTCAAAGAAGACAGATGTCTGAACAAACAAGTACCTGAATCATCACTCAGGTCTCCAAATCTGTGAGGCTGGGGGCCTCTTGGCTAGCTGAGATGGTAGCTGTTATCACCAGAAATAAAAGGGCAGAGTTTATGTGGCTTGGAGGAAGGGTTCCAAAAAAAACCATGTAGGGGAATTTGAGAGAAATAAGACTAAGCTCACGCAAAAGTTCTTCTTCTAACACTTCAAATGTTTGTTCCTTGAAGTTTAAAGAAATCTAATAACCTAGAATTTAATTTTTACTGCTCTCAGTTCCACTTCTGAAGCACATATAAAAGATACACATGTTTTTCATTACTATGTGAGGGGTGTGTGTGTGTTGGGTCTTCCTTGAGTTATCATTTTCCATTTTTAGTATAGAAATTTTCATATAACACAAAAACAGAATACTTATGACCCTTTATTTACCCATTGCCCAACCTAAACAGTTGTCAACATTCATTGTTTCATTTTGTCCACCTCTTTTGTTGCTGGAATATTTTAAAGAAAAATTTTATACATCTTTCTTTCACCTGCAAATACTTAAGTGTACATCTCTTACAGAAAAGGACTAATATATATTCTTCAGGGGACTTCTCCAAAGTAGAAAGTGAAGTCAGCTTTCTAGAATGCTTACACGTGTTGTGGGACTAAGTTAGAACTAGATTCTTTGGTTACTTGGTCAGCTAACCTCCTGAGTACAAGTTAAACCCACTCTACAGTTCTTTGTCAGAAATCATTTAGTTGCAATGAACCAAAACCTACTCACAGGGGCTCAAGAAAGGAGATAGCTTGCTAGGAACTAGAGCTGCTCCACCTTTGATGTTGATATAGGGGCTTTCTCATTTCTCTTTTTCAATCTCTCCGAGCATTGTTTGTGGCCCAGCATAGACCCCAGCCCTGAGCTGACATATTTTCAAGTCCAACATTTATATAGACTTGCTGTACTGAATCTTGTTTCAAATTATGGAGAGAATGAGAACCTGTTTTCTGGCTAGTTGATGTGTTGACTGGCCTCAAGTCAGATGATCTGTGGCCAGGATTAGATAGTACTACAGAAAGGGCTGCCTTGGGGCAATTTTATAGATAAAGAGGACTCCAGATGGAACAGGCACTTGAAAACATATTAATTGCATTCTAAATTCTTCATTTCAGTTAACATTGTTACACTGAGTTTGAAGTAGATTACTCATAGGGAAATTTTAGGAATTTCTTTTTACTTGAAAGAGGCATTGTCTGAATTTAGTTCTGTGGTCTAGATATGTTTGTTAGTTCGTTAGTAGTGAAAATATGCTGTCATGTAATAGATAATCCCTATTTCATCCCCCTCCATAGGATGACAATAATCTGTTAAAACAGCAACTTAAAGATTTCCAGAATCACCTTAACCACGTGGTTGATGGTTTGGTTCGTCCAGAAGAGGTGGCAGCTCGTGTGGATGAGCTAAGAAGAAAACTGAAATTAGGAGCTGGGGAAATGAAGTAAGGAAAAAGCAAGACCTCCAAGACTAGAGTGGGCCTCACAACTTGGGAGTTGTGAGTGTGAGGTTCAATGATAAACTCACCTTTCTAAGTTCTGTTAATGGCAAATTTCTTTTGTAAGGTTCTCCGTATAATGTTTTCATGACTGAGACAGAAGATTATTTAATTTTAATTGTCTGCCACTGATAGTTTTTACATTTTGGATTTTTTTTTTTTTGGTATTTAAGGGTAATTTTTGGTATTTAAGAGTTTTTTTTTTCTTGAAAGTTAATTATATATGGTCAGGAAGTAGAGCCACATTATACATTTTAAATAGAGAAGAAACATCAAAAGAAAACATAATTATTTCAAATATATGAAATGGACATTTATTTTTGGAGCAAATATTGTTAGCCTCATGTGAGCCTATGGTTTCAGAGTGGCGGCAGTCATTTGATAAAACAATAATTTGCACTTAGAAGATGGTCAGTAAATTGCTATAGATTGACACCAGTCCCTCCACACAGCTTTTTACTCGAGGTAATGTTAATAGCATGTTTGCATCAAAAATTAAATGTCACATTTATACCATTTTTCCTCCTCGCTAGCATCCATAGTCCTTCAGATGTCTTAGGGAAAAGTCTTGCTGATTTACAGAAACAATTCAGTGAAATTCTTGCACACGCCCAGTGGGAAAGAGATGAAGCACAAGTTAGAGAAAGAAAACTCCAAGAAGAAATGGCTCTGCAGCAAGAGAAACTGGCAACTGGACAAGAAGAGTTCAGGCAGGCCTGTGAGAGAGCCCTGGAAGCAAGAGTAAGAAAAGGACAAGAGGCACCTGGAGGGAAGTGTTTGGCAAATATTAATGTTTTCCAGCAAATTACAATGCTTCCTTTGTCATGTAAATACAACAGAATTGTTGTTATTTTCACTTATAACAAGTCAAGCTGGGTGTGACTAAAACTCAACCCTGAATGTGGTTATTATGTCAAAGTCAGGCTTGTTTGTGACATTGTGTTTTCCTTGATTTGGAAGCAAAGGCAAGTTATTTTATAATAGGCAGGTAAATAATGCCACATTCCTAGAGTATGGTGTGTTGCCAGAATCTGGTATTTTTTGATGTGATGATTTTAATGAAGAGGCAAACATTCAAATGACTCCTAGAGATCGTTCAAGATAAAACCATTCCTGACAACTCGTTAGTAAATAATTAAGTTACAGCCTATAGTAAAATGGGTGATAATTCATAAAAAGTTTTAATTTTTCTTAAAATGTATTTTGCCTAAAAATCATTCTTGAAATCTTATTTCTTCACAGATTAATTTTGATAAGAGACAACATGAAGCGAGAATCCAGCAACTGGAGAATGAAATTCACTATTTGCAAGAAAATCTAAAAAGTATGGAGGAAATCCAAGGCCTTACAGATCTCCAACTTCAGGAAGCTGATGAAGAGAAGGAGAGAATTCTGGCCCAACTCCGAGAGTTAGAGAAAAAGGTAGGGAAAGCTTGGAAAATGAGACACGTAAGTGCCTGCCGGCAGTGCTCTGCCCACTGGCAGTGTTCTGCCCACTGGCAGCTAGGTCAGCTGAGACGGGTGCGATCTGTAGTCACCTCTGGCTACATTGCTGGCACAGTGCTGAACCTGACCTGGGTGGGACCTGGATGCATGTCATTGAATCAAGAGCCTAAGACCAGGTGTCATGGTAGATGGAAACAAGAGAATTGAGAATGTAAGGAGTGACTTTCGAGTTAATTAGGTGGTACTTAACAAATGATATTGGGAGGAGTTTGACTCCTTTGAAGCCTCTTGTCCAATTGGACACATCCATGGAAAGTTACTTTTAAACTCCTCATCATCCTTTCTAATACCCCTGCCTCTCTTTGATGGCTTTTCTCCATTCCACCTCAACCATCTACTCCCATTGTCACATTCTGGACTTTGTCAAGTTTAAAAATTGCACCCACCTCTGAAATCACAAACTGAAGTGTCTTGCTCTGATCATAACCACTTATCTTGCTGGCATCCACACACTAAAAATTTCTCAACCTTATTGAGCTTCCAGTTCAATAGCCTCACCCCGACCTTTGCTATCTGTTAAGCCCTTGTCTTTACTTTCTTACTTGTCCAACTTAAATTTTGTGGTCTACCAGCTATAACTTTTTTTTTTCTCTACAAATATCCTTAAGTCCCTTGTCCTTTTCTACTGTTTTATTTCACTGACAAAACTGAAGCTCTCTGCTTTCTTTGGGCCTGCACTTACACTGGGTGTTCCTGGAGAAAACAGTCACCCATCCAGTATAGTGGTGTCATTAAAAACTTATAGTTACCAATCTCAAATGGATAATATGACCCTTTCCTGTGGTGATCTTCCTCTCCCATGCCTCACTGTTTCACACCTTCTCATCCTCTCACCTGCCGTCTGCTTTCTCCCAGCCTCAGTGAATGACTTGCTTTATCCTTCACTGAGAAGCCATCAGTTTCCAAGTCCTGTTGAATCCATCTCTAAAATATATCTGGAATATATGACCTTTTTCCTTCTCTGATGCTAGACACTTGTGCTGTCACCATCTCTTCTGGATGACTGCTGTGGCTGTCTGATCGATCTGTCACTTCTAATCATGACCCTGATCTCCAGAGCTGCCAAGATGCTCTTTCTAAAATGTCAAGTGGCTATAATCAGTCTCCCCTCCAGTAGCTTCCTTTGTTCTTAGGATTAAGGCCAAAATTCTTAAGCCTACGAGGCCTATGTGATTTGCCTCTATTTAGATCTCTCCTTTTCTCACTGTGCTTCTCCTTTCAGTTGCTCAAAAATGCCAAATTCCTTTACTAACACCCTATGCCCAGGGCCTGATTTCAAAGGCAGGTTCATCCATGCCTTGGTGGTAGTGCCAGGAAATGTTTTTCCAGTAAATGGAAGAAGTTATGACCACTAAGATTCTTGACCAAGAAGACCTAGTTCAAGTTTCTCACAGTTTTAAGATCTATTATTTATTCAGTGGATATATGTGGAGTACCTCCTGTGTATCAAGTATTGTTCTAGGCAGCAGTGAACAGAGTCCCTACCCTCCTGGAGCTTACATCTGAATTCATTCCTGCCAAATAATTTGTCTGTTTAATTAATGTTTCTTTTATTTTAGAAGAAACTTGAAGATGCCAAATCTCAGGAGCAATTTTTTGGTTTAGATAAAGAACTGAAAAAACTGAAGAAAGCTGTGGCCACCTCTGATAAGCTAGCCACAGCTGAACTCACCATTGCCAAAGACCAGCTAAAATCCCTTCATGGAACTGTTATGAAAATTAACCAGGAGCGAGCAGAGGTGAGTTCACATGTACAGAACAGGTTTCCATCAATGATGCTGCTGTCAAAAAACATGGCAACTTGTATTATTGATCTTGTTATAAACATTGGTTATTTTACAAACCACTGTAAAGTTGTCTGTTTTTCTTAAGACCTACAGATTATATTCCCCCCATAACAACCCCCAATAATTTATTTTGTGCTGCCATGGATCCTGCATTCTACTGAGCCCTGAAAGGAATCATCAAATAAACATACTATCCCTACCTTTACGTGTAAGGATCTGCTTAGGGAGGTAGCTGTCAATATCTACCTGGACAAGGGTTCTTGAAGGATTGTCATATAATCCCTCTGAATCTCAAATTTTTCATCTTGTGCAGTTATGTGAAAATGTTACTTCATAGTATGACTCCTTACTGAGCTAATGGCTGTTACCATGCTTTATAGGATGCAAATGCTAATAAGATTAAGATAGCAGATCATAGGAGACAAAAATATCTAATGATGAGAGCCCAGAGAGACATAATCATGGAAGACTGTAGTAAAAGTACAAAAGTAAAAAAGTTAGCCTTTGTTCTTTCTGATGTCGCACCTTGGGGTTGGGGGCTGGGCAGGCTGCCCAACAATGGGAACAACACAGGAGAAGGTGGGGCTTGGGTGTCCATTTTTATGAACAGCCTGGTAGGCAGTGTGATGAAAGCAGAGGAATCAATCCAAGAGGAAGAAATGAAGAAAACAACCTGTGATAGCAGTGGTGCCTTTCTCATATCTCTGTCCCAGTAGGAGTTGCAGGAAGCAGAGAGGTTCAGCAGAAAGGCAGCACAAGCAGCCAGGGATCTGACCCGAGCAGAAGCTGAGATCGAACTCCTGCAGAATCTCCTCAGGCAGAAGGAGGAGCAGGTCAGTGTTGGTACCCAGAGACCTCCCCTTTATCAGATTCTTATCAGTTCCTAAAAGACAAAATTACTGTAGGTGATGTCTCAAAGAATTCTGAAGTGCAGTCAATAGTTAATCAGTACTTTATCCTCTACTGTGTGCCAGGCTTGGTGCAGTTTCCAAGTAATGCAGTTTCCTCACTGGGAAAGTGTAAATAAATATAGAATCATAATCAAGTTGAAAGGATAAATGTGTTTGGGAAAGAATGAATTCATTGGCAACTTTGTGTGATTTTTTTAAAATAGTTTCGACTTGAGATGGAGAAAACAGGTGTAGGTACTGGATCAAACTCACAGGTCCTAGAAATTGAGAAACTGAAAGAGACAATGGAACGACAAAGGATAGAGATTGCAAGGCTGCAGAATGTACTAGACCTCACCGGAACTGGTAAAGGATTGGGCTTTGATTTTTGGCAGTGGTTTTGTAGTCGTAAAATTAAATCATCTTGTTTGTTTTTTACCTTTAACTGTTACAAATCAATTCCATGCTTGATTTAGAGAGCTGTGGTAATTAGCTTAATAAGTAAAATCAGATAATTTTAAAAGTATTTTCTGTAAGTGTGTTACTGGGGGACTTGGGTGCCAAGACAGGAGTTTCGTATTTGTGGCCGGGCGCAGTGGCTCACGCCTATAATCCTAGCACTTTAGGAGGCCATGGCGGGTGGATCGCTTGAGGTCAGGAGTTCGAGACCATCCTGGCCAACATGGTGAAACCCTGTCTCTACTAAAAAATACAAATATTAGCCAGGCGTGGAGGTGGGCACCTGTAAACCTAGCTACTCAGGAAGCTGAGGCAGGAGAATCACCTGAACCTGGGAGGCGGAGGTTGCAGTGAGCCAAGATTGGGCCACTGCACTCCAGACTGGATGACAGAGTAAGACTCTATCTCAAAATAAAAAAAAAAGAGGCCGGGCGCGGTGGCTCAAGCCTGTAATCCCAGCACTTTGGGAGGCCGAGACGG